CGGGGCGGGGCCCTGGGGCGTGGTCTTGGTGGGCGGGGCCGGGTCCTGGTCTGGAGCAAGGAGGTGAGCGGGTGACCTGGGCGGGTGGATATGGGCCTGGTGTGGTGGCGGGACGTGGGCGGGGGGCGCAGGCTGGGTGGGGAAGAGGCTCACCTGCACCGGGTCGCCGGCGTCCTCGCAGGTGAACCACCTGAGGCAGAGCCGCACGTAGTAGTCGGGACTCCCGGGGGCGTCGGGCACCTGCACCAGAATGGCCTTGCTCCTGCGGTCCACCCAGTAGCTGAGCTTCCTGGCTGTAGGAGAGCAGCGAGTGGGGACCACATTGGGTCCAGCGGTCACAGACACAGGGCTCCGTGTGTCCTGAGAGTCCCGAGGTAGTGACCCCTGCTTGGTCGCCCACCTGAGACACCATCAGGATTTCCCAAGTGGGGGAGAAGACCCCAGAGGGACAGGAAGTCTGGACGTGCAGCAGCGTACTTCCCAGGACAGTGAGGGTATGGTCCCGGCTGATGAGGGCCACTTACCAAAGCAGTCAGGCACGTTCCTCCTCACGTCCTCGTCTCTGCAGTCTGCAATGACAGAGGCACAGATGGGCCCAGCGGCTCTGCCCCCAACGGCAGTCCCCCTAGCTGGGTCTCTGCAAGTACCTCCTCTCCAGAGAGGCGGTGACCCCGAATTAAGCCAAGAGCCCTCGCCGGGAGCTGTCCAGCATGGGGCCTGGCCCACCTTAGGTAAGTCCCACTCCAAGCCAGTCCCACCCCAAACAAGTTCCACCCCAAGCCAGTCCCTAGAGAGCTGTGCTCAGGCCCGCCCACAGGCTCCCACCTTCCACGTGGTACTGCTGGTCCAGCTGGACCCCGCAGAAGTGGGGGATAGTCCTCAGGGTGATGTAGAGGTGCTGGGCCATGCTCACCTCAAAGCAGTCGAAGTGCACCTGGAGCTGGGCAGGTGCAGGTGTGAGCTGGGTGGACCCTGAAACCACTGCCCACCCACCCCTGGCCAGCTCTGCCTGCATGGCCGGAGCCCAGGGCTTGGGGACCCAAGAGAAGAGGAGTCCATTTCTCAGGACTTTGATGGCAGGGCCCCAAGATGGGCTGGCAGGTCCAGATTGGGCCCTTGCTCACCTGCCGCCCCACCTGCCGCAGGCGGGAGGCCCTGGAGACCCGCACGCTCTGACACTGCGTCTCCTGGGTGTCCAGGCTCATGGAGCAGACCTCCAGGCCCCGCACGCTCTCTGGGTGAAGGGATGGGCCAGCAGGTGTATCAGAGCAGGGCTGGGATGGGCTCCCCCCGAGGCCATGTGGCCATGTGAAGCGGCCTCTTCCTTGGCCTCCTCCCTGTGAAGCGCAGTCAGCAGTGTCCCCCCCCCTCCCGCCCCCTGGGTGTCCAGGCTCATGGAGCAGACCTCCAGGCCCCGCACGCTCTCTGGGTGAAGGGATGGGCCAGCAGGTGTATCAGAGCAGGGCTGGGATGGGCTCCCCCCGAGGCCATGTGGCCATGTGAAGCGGCCTCTTCCTTGGCCTCCTCCCTGTGAAGCGCAGTCAGCAGTGTCCCCCCCCCCGCCCCCAACGCCCCCCCGGCCTTGGTGAGGACTAAGGAGCCCTGGTTCCACTGCTCGACCTTTTGGGTGTCACCACTATCTCAGTTCAATGGCCAGGGCTGGCCTCCCAAGAGGCTGCCTTACCAAGCAACTTGACAGAGGCATGCACGAGCAAGAGTAGTGAGCAGCCATCCTGGGGGGCACACTTCATGGCGGTGGAGAGCGTCAGGGCATCCAAGACAGACTTGGACATGGACGTGGGGGGTGGCCGGCAGAAGCTGTTGAAAATGTTCCCTGGGGACGTAGAAGGAGGGTGAGGCCATGGGATTGATTCCCTGGTGCCTGGGAAAGGCTTTGTCATTGGTCCGGCAAGAGGGGAGAGCCCTGGGGTGGCACGGTTGGGGAGGGGTCCTCACTGTCTGGCCCTAACAGAATCTGAGAACCAGCCACCCAGTGAGTGTTAGGCCCACCCCTGAGCTACACCCAGAATGTCTGCTGGACACCAGGAGTGTGGCCCAGGTCAGGGGAGCAGCCTGCACACCAGTCTGCATCCAAGCTGGGGAAGCTGCTGCCCCATCTGGCCAGCAAGGGGACAGAGGAGCCCACCCCCAATCGCCCCTGTCCAAAGATGAGCAACAGAAAAGGCCCATGCAGGCCTACTGGGGGCCCATTGGTCACGACCCAGAGGTCATTGCAGCCCAGGGCTCTGTCCACAGGCGGGTAGCTGCATTCTCACAGGTAGCACTGGCCCTGCAGACCTTGTTCAGCACGTGGGCAACTGTGAATGGAGCCGACACCAGGCAGGGGCAGCCTGACTTGACGTGAGCAAGGCAGAACTGGGGTCTCACTTTTGAGCCCTGGGGGCTAAGCAATATTTGCTGGCTTCGCTCAGCCACGTTTACAGGTGAGGACTCAAAGTGGCGTTCCATGTGGGCCACAGAACCCTAGAGAGGGCTAAGCCCCAGAGAGTTAGCAGCGCAGGTCCCTCCTGCACACAGGGCATGGCTCACCCCGTCATGAGGCACCTCCCATGGGCCCCAGGAGTTGGTAAAATTAGGATAAGAAGTAAGGCACAGAAAGGGAAGCCAGGCAAGACTACAAGAGGTGGCACTCAGGCCTGCTTATATTATTCAGGTGGAGGGAGCAGCCACCAGGGCCGGAGCCCAGGGCTTGGGGACCCAAGAGAAGATGATGCACCAGGACGGGGAAGATGGACAAGGTGTGTGGCTCAGTGGGTGTTTCTGGGGCCAGAGCTCACCAACTGTGTCTCCTACACAGGGACCCCCAAGGCAAACTAGGGAGCATATGAGGAAAATCACTATTGGGGCTAAAAGCCAAAGAGAAGTTAAAGGTAAGAGGGTGCCGGGTCCCGCAGCAGCCCTACCTGTGCTACAGGAGAAGGACCACCTTTAAGATCAGGTTGATCTGGGGCCAGCCCGGTGGCGCACTGGATAGTGCGCCGCTTGGGAAGTGCGGCGGCGCTCCCGCCTGAGGGTTCGGATCCCACATACAGACCGGTTCCCGCTCACTGGCTGAGCGAGGCACGGGAACAACACCGAGGGTTGCGATCCCGTTGCCGGTCCCCAGTCCGGTATGGGGGCAACACTGAGGGTTGCAGTGTTGCAATCTGTTGCCGGACACGGAAAAAGACAAAAAGACCAAAAAAAAAAAAAAATGATATATGTTGCAATACAAATTATTAAGTCAGTCTTATAATTTGTAAATACTTGTTGATTTGTGGAAAATCAGGTTGATCTGTTAAAATTCAGGCGAAAAGAGGAGGAAAGCGGCACAGAAAAGGCACATCTCTCTGCAGAAAAGGTGAAGCAGAAATGAACACTACCCAGAGCCCCAAACAGTCAAGAACAGAGGCAGGTCTGTACTTGAAGGGCACACAATTTTTCCCCCAGGCCTGGGGCTCACCTGATGCAGAATCGTCAGGAGCAGCTTCTGTTCAAGGACCTTCCCCTGCTAAGAAGCGAGCAGGGGTGATGGAGAGGGTTGCTGGGAAGCAGGCTGTCCCGACCCGGCTGCTCCACCGGGGGAGGGCTGCCACCTTCTTCACAGAAGGCACAGCCACCGAGGCGAGCAGGGGTGATGGAGAGGGTTGCTGGGAAGCAGGCTGTCCTGACCCGGCTGCTCCACCGGGGGAGGGCTGCCACCTTCTTCACAGAAGGCACAGCCACCGAGGCCTGGGACCAAAGTGCTGCTGGTAAGACACTGTGCAGCCCATTACCCAGTGGAGCCGTCGGAAACCACAGGCTCAAAGGGGCAATGGGAATAAGGGGGTCTGAATATGCTCATGAGAAAGAAATCCAACTGTTGTGGAGTCCACTGTGGCCAAGGTGGAATCACAGGGATCAGATTTGCCCTCCTGCTTGAAACGGCCAGGAAAACAGAGACAAAACGCACGAAGCAATGGTTTCAAGACAGTGGATGTGAGGGACTGAAGTGATCCCTGAGAGACGGGAAACATGCAAGGGTGCCCCACTGTTGAGAGCCTGGCACACTCCCTAAGCCGAGAAACTAGGATGGAAAGCTGGCCAGACCAAGGCAGCTAGAGTTTGCAAGACAGAGTATGAGAGGGCAGAGAATGGTGCAGAGGGAGAGCTCTGGAGGATACTCAGCAGGGTATTCATCGGCATACGTATGTGAGGGAGCTGCCAGAAGTGGGGGGAAAGCCACCCGAAGGGATCTGAGGGGGTGTGTGCTGCACTCACACTGGCTGGGAATAGTCCCTGTTTCCAGCCCGACGGAAGCATCATGATTCACAGGGCATTGGGTACAGTATACAGAAGAGTCTTGCCTCAGTAGGGGGGGAATGAACGGACCGAGCACTGCTCTGGTTCTGCCTAGCAAATCTTAAAAGCAAATCCCCCAAAGATTAAGCTGTTTCCAAATAACTCTATTTCAGAAAATGTCTCAAGGGTATTTTTAGGAATAAAATATATATGTATTTTTTTCCTCCCAGCACTCAACAGGATAAAATTGACAATGTCTGCATCTAATAAAAAGTTACAAGCTATGCAAAGAATAATAAAAAAAAACCCATAATGAGGAAACAATTCAGTTAATTAAAACTAACACAGTACTGACACAGATCTTAGAATTAGTAGATGAGAACATTAAAACAATTACTATCACTGTATTTCATATGTTCAAAAAGTTCATTATAGACATAGAAGATATACAGAAAATCCAAATACAACTTCTAGAGATGAAAACTACGATGTCTGACATGAGAAATACACCAGATAGGTGAACGGCAGATCAGGCACCACAAGAGAGCGGGAGCACGAAAGAGACAGAGAGATCAAGGAACTTGCGGGAGGAGCAACAGAAACTGTCCAAAGGAGGCAGACAGGGATGCTGCTGCTGATGAGAATGAGTGACGCATCAGGGAGCTGCGGGACAACTTTCCGTGACCTAACGTATGTGCAACTAGAGTCCCTGAAGGAGAGAATTAAAAACAAAAACATGAAGAAACGATAGAAAAGTTTCAAACTTGATGAAGACTATAAACTCACAGATCCAAGAAGGTCACTGAGTGCTAAGTACAAGGAACACAAAGAAAATCACACCAAGGCACATCAAAATCAATTCGCTCAAAACCAGTGATAAAGAGAAAATGGTAAAAGCCACCACAGGAAAAAAGATGTCACGTTCAGAGGAACAAAAATAAAGACAGCAGCAAATCTCTTGTTGGAAACAATGCACATGAGAAGACACTGGGAACAGACCTTCAAAATTCTGAAAGACAAAACCTATCAACCCCAACTTCTATACCATGGGAAAATGTCTCTTGAAAAGAAGGGTAAAAAAGCCTTCCTTGGCACACAAAAGCTGTAGGGATTCATCCCCAGAAGACCCACACGAGAAAAAATGTTGAAGAAAGTCCTTCTGGTAGGAAGAAAAATGGTGCCAGATGGAAATGGTATCAAAGGAATAAAGAACATCAGAAATGATAACCATGTGGGTAAATATACAAGATATTTCCTTATTATTCAAATATGTTTGAAATAACGTACTATGGGGTTCAGAACAGATGTAGAAGGGGAAGGAGCGAGCACAGGAGCACAAAGGCCCAGATGGGAGAAGCGGAACTGTCCTATGGGAAAGTCCTCAGGCTGTACATGACGTGCCAGATTATCATCTGAAGGTAGAATATAATAAGTTAAATATGTGTATTATAAACCCCAGAGCAAACACTAGAGTAACAAAACAGAGGTTGAGCTAATAAATTGACAAAGAAGATCATATGGAATCACAAAGAAATACCCAATTAATCCAAAAGAAGGCAGAAAAAGAAGAAAAATCTAATGAAAAGGAGATCAAACAAATAAAAAAATAGCAAGATAGATTGAAAGCAAACCATATCAATAATCACATTAAATGTAAATGTTTAAATATCATATTTAAAGGGCAAAGATTTTCAGGTCATATAAAAAAGCAAGACCCAACTATATGCTGCCTATAAAAAACGTACTTTAAATATGAAGACACAAGTCAGTTAAAAGTAGAAGGATAAGAATTAAAGGAGAAATGGCATGCAGTAGTCATCAAAAGAGAGCTGGAGTGGTTATTAACACCAGACAACATAGATTTCATGGCAAAGAATATTACCAGGGATAAAGATAGTCATTCTGTAATACTAGAGGGAGTGACTCATCAGGAACACATAACAATTCTAAACATTTATGCACTTAATTACAGAGTTTCAAAATACATAAAATGAAGCTGATAGAACTATAAAAGGAAATAGGCAAATCCACAGCTCTAGCTGAGATTTCAATACTCTTCCCTCTATAATTGATAGAACAAGTTGACAGAAAATCAGAAAGAATATGGTAGACTTGAATAACACAATCAACCAGCTTGACGTGACTGACATTTGTAGAACACCATACCCAACAACAGCAGAAAATTCATTCTTTTCAAGGGCACATGGAACATTCACCAAGATAGACCATATTCTGGTCCATAAAACAGTTCTAATAAATTTAAAAACATTCAGATCATACAAGCCTTCTTCTCTGGACAAAATGGAATTAAATAAATAAGACATCAGTAAAAAATATTTTGGGAAAATCACCAATATGTGAAAACTAAATGGCACACTTCTAAATAGCCATGGGTCAAAGAAGAAGTCAAAAGAGAGATTAGAAACTACTTCAACCTGAATGAAAATGAAAAGACAACAAGAAAAAAATTTTTCTGGATGCTTCTAAAGCAGTATGTAACACCGAGGGTTGC